CTTGGAATAATTATCGGACGGTTTACACAGTCTTCAACTCCTTCTATATGGTCTATCCGTCCCTTAATACGTAGAATGCCAGAGTCATCTATATAAAGAGAGCACTTAAACATCAGGCTTTTGAGATAAGTAAAGCGGCGCCCCGATTTTAAGCAGGTAATCTCACTATAAAACTCCTCTTCTTGGCATATCCGGATAAAAATCACATCCATTTAGTTGCTTCGTTTAAGGAGCATCGTCTTCTGCAGATCCAGTACTCCGTCCAATCTGACCTTCTCAGTAATAACCCGTAGGAAAGCCAGTACGCATAGCTGAACGGCTCTAAATTTTTCTTGCTTGCTGAAACGCTGCAGATCCGGCAGGATACATTTCCAGGACGACGTGTGATTGGGTGGTTTTTCAGCATGGTAAAACATGTTTATTGCAGGGTCTATTTCCGTGTGTGGCCACTGCGATTCTTCTAGATACAAAAATGGTGGTCCATTGAACCACCTGGTTGAGCCATGAATTTCAGGCGTTTCAGTCTGTTTCGTGCCATCGTCTGCCACGTCAATATCTGATTCTTCTAAAATCTCTCCGATCCGAAGCGCTACGAATTGCTGGAACTTTCGAGCATCGGAACGGATCCAGTAGAGCACATCCTTTGAATCTGTCCAGAATGTTCATCTATGTATGCGTACCGACATTTCCTTTTGGTTACATTTGTCCAGTCTCAGACCTAAGACCGCGGCCATCAGTTCCATGCGAGGTATGGATACGGGCTTCAAGGGTGCTACTCTCGTTTTCGAGGCGGCCAAACTGCTATGTACTTGGCCATCAAGTTCAGCCCGCAAAAATACAACTGCGGCGTAAGCATTCATACTGGCGTCCACGAATGTATGCATCTGCACAGCCTGGGTTCGGTTTACCCGCTTCATACACCGTGGAATGCGGACGGACATTCAACTTTGAAACTAGATCAAGCCAGTGTTGCCAATCGGCTTCGTCTTCGTTGGTGAGGTCGTCATCATATCCGATGTTGGATTGCCATATGTTCTGAAGGATGATCTTGGCGTGTATATTAAAGAATCCTAGCAGCCCGAGCGGGTCGAAAATAGACATGATACACTTAAAACACGTCTTTTAGTTGGGCGCTCCTTAGATGCCTTCGCAAGCAAGTTTGGCTTCACCATAAACGTCAAAAGATCTTGTCCAGGTAGCCACCACAGGCCCAAGACTTTCTCTTGCGCTTCATCCTGATCGCTGATACACTTGTCCAATTCCTCACAGTCGTCTTCCAGCGCCTGTATAACTTGCTTCGAATTTGATGTCCAGCGGTGCATGTCGAAACCGCCATTAGCATGAATTCTTTTTACAGTCTCAGCTAACTGTATCATTTGGGCTGCTGCATCCACCGACTACAGCCAGTCGTCGACAAATGTGTTTTCTCAAATCGCCTTTACGGCATCCGGATGCTCCGCTACAAACCGCTCGGCATTGCGATTCTTGACGTAATTTGCTAGGGCTGGCGAACAGGATGCTCCGAACATCATGACTTGCATTACGTACGTTTCGGGGAAGCGTGACAAATCTCCATCACACCAGAGAAACTTCTGGGCCGCTTGGTCTTCTCGGGGCACCTTGACCTGATGACACATTTCCCGTATGTCGCCGGATACGGCGATAGGACGGTCTCTAAAGCGTATTAGCACGCCCATCAAAGATGCTAGTGTATCTGGACCTTTCAGCAAACCATCGTTCAGCGACATGCCACTAACTTTGGCAGCCGCATTCCATACCAGGCGCGTCTTTTTCTTGTTCGGATTGGTGACTGTAAATATATGAAGAAACCACGATGTCGTGTTAGCTACTAACTCACTATCTATCAGCCGGCGGATATATCACTTCTGTTTGTAGTCGTGCATCGTGTTCATCATGAACTCTTTTGACATCTTTGCCTCTAAACATTTAAGGCGCTTAACAGCCATCTGATAAGAGTCTGGCAGATGCATGCGAACAAACCTCCATAGCAGTCCGGTCTGCCAGCGCTTTTCGTTTTCCAGATATGTTGTTGTTGCCTCCATAATGTATCGAGCGTTCGTTCTCTTTGGATCTCAGCGGATGTGAGGAAACGCTCAAGCCAAGTGACTCCAGTGAAAAATAGTTCTTCAGAGCTTCATCCATCCCACTCGGGGCAACTAGCAAATTGATATTGTCTAAACCAATGATAAGCTGAGCCTTTACGTTGTTCATTAGCATGAATTCTTTTTACAGTCTCAGTTAACTGTATCATTAGGGCTGCTGCATAATTTTCTAGGGCTGCTTCGAACATCATGACTTGCATTACGTACGTTTAGGGGAAACGTGACAAATCTCCATCACGCCAGAGAAACTTCTGCGCCGCTTGGTCTTCTCGGCGCACCTTGACCTGATGAAACATTTCCCGTATGTCGCCGGATACGGCGATAGGACGGTCTGTAAAGATAGGAAGAAACCACGAAGTCGTGTTAGCTACTAACTCACTATCTATCAGCCGGCGGATATATTCCTTCTGTTTGTAGTCGTGCATCGTGTTCATCATGAACTCTTTCAGTGATGAGTTTTTGACATCTTTGCCTCTAAACATTGAAGGCGCTTAACAGCCATCTGATAAGAGTCTGGCAAATGCATGCGACAAACCTCCATAGCAGTCCGGTTATAAATAGTTCTTCAGAGCTTCATCCATCCCACGCGCCGCACTGTACTGGCCAATATGTAGCAGCTGAGGCGTGGTACTGTCTCCCACAATTGGGCGGCCAGATCTGCTTCGCGATGCTATGACGTCGTTGTTTTCACCTTCTCGTATCTCCAAGGGTGCAGTTATTTTGATATTGTCTAAACCAATGATAAGCTGAGCCTTTACGTTGTTATACGGCAGAATAATTTTGAGGCACTTCTGAAGGCCGTTGAGATTTTCCTCGTTGCTGGATCCACATGTCTCTGTGGATTGCTCACAATTGCTGATAAAGATCAACCATTCCTCTGGTTTGCCTGTAAAAATTGGTAAATCTTTGCTGATGACATGTCGCACACTGATTTGCGCAGATGTCAGCGATCCATTCCACGGCGTCGCATTATTACAATACACATTGTCGAATTGCTGCTGTGGCGCGTGCTCAATCGATCTATTGAGCGCTCCCGGACCTGTGTGGCCCATGTACGCGGCAGTACTGGGCTCCGTAGCCTGGTTAAACACCGCCGTATTTGCTTGATATGGCAAACTGGGGTGTACACTCCAATTAGCCGCAACCTGTTTCTGCTTGCAGATCACGTTCTGGTATCCCAAAGGGTCGAAGAGTGCTCCCACTTTCTCACTTCTTTGTTGCATCGGTGTTGGACTTTCCCTTGGGCCAGTAGCTGCAGACGACATAGACGGACAGCCGCTATAAGTTTCTATGTTTGCTGCCCCGCTACCGTCTTCTGCACCGGCGACTTTATCTTGTAATCCAGCAGAAACAGGCGATCCGTTAGCCTGTCCAGTTGACCATGCCGTTGCAAGCGTTGCAGTTCCACCGGGTTGATTACTACTTGTCGTCCTTCTCGCACTTACATCTTGTTCATCACCGTCAACCAACTTTCCACCCCAATACTATGAAATCTGCTTTGAGGTTATGGCAGCTAAGTGTGAGTCTAGCTCTTGTACCACGTGTCTCTCTATAGGCAGCTCAGGTTGTGACTTTGCAAGTCGCCTGCTTCGCATAAATCTCCGCCGTAGCAGAGAATCCCTCAGACACTCTCTGCTGCAGAGAATATTTAAGAATGTTGGCACCGAGACACGTTCCTGGGCGCGTATTTGGCAGGGATTTCTAACGTCGAAAGAAACGACTATTTCTTTTGGTTCGTTGTAAGCTGTACGATTCGATTCAACTCGATTCGTACGATACGATACGATATGATATGATACGAACGACACTATACGCTGAAATCTTTATTATCTTTTCATTATTTAACAACATATATTTTACTTTTTTATTATTATGAGACTTACATTCGTGCTCCGCACGCGCTTCTGTTCTCTTTCACTTCTGCTCAGCTGCAAGCACAAAACGAAAAAAACGTCGAAAAGGCAGATTGTGCAGCTGCGTGCGATCGACTTTGTATGTACAGACTAATTCTAACGGTGCGCTTCCAGTGTATGAAGAAATGCGAGAGCCAGTAGGACTAACTGTCAACAGCTATTTTCACTTCGCCCCGTAACATTCCCCACCCCGTATTTCACAAACGTCCGTGCAGTGTGTTACCAACTTTAATGTCAAGCTTCGCTAGCTTGACGGCGGAGCGAGTAATAATTCCATCGGCGGCTCGCACCACGGCGCTGCGGTACCTGGCCATCCTTTGAACGGTGCACGTCTACGACCAGTCATCTTGTCCAACAATTTCATCGTCCACTATTATGACGATGTCGTCGACTGATATTGGTTCGAGCGGCGGTTGAAACCACTTAGGAACGTCTGGTGAGTGTAGGCAGGACTCGGAAGCCTCGTTCCAAGCTAGCTCCGTCTTGCTCCCGTAAGCCTCTCTCACGTAATTCGCTTGAATGACCGCTTGAAGAAAATGATTTGGAGTCAGGGTTTCGGACTCAGATGTCTCCAAGAGAACATAAGTAAGCGGCGTTGACTTGGCCAATGCTGCTCCTAGGACCTTCTCTCGAAGCCCAGAGTACGGCCGAAACTCCGACAGTATTGACTCTTTGACATCTTTTAATATTCTGCTAGCGCCTCTGAAATTTGTGCCATTGTCCGACAGCATGCGGCGGGGGCAGCCGCGTCTGGCCACGAACGACGCATAAGTATAAGTCAGTTGACGCGACGCCGTCCAACGACAATGTCGTAGGGGCCGAAATAATCCACTCCAGTATATGTGAACGGTGGAGTATAGGGCGATAATCGCTCGATTGGCAGGTCGCCCATCTCTGGAGGCTTTGGGCGGGCGCGTCGTATGCGGCACGCTGGGCAGGTTTTGGAAACTACTCTCACCAAAGCTCACTGCGATTCTTCTAGATACAAAAATGGTGGTCCATTGAACCACCTGGTTGAGCCATGAATTTCAGGCGTTTCAGTCTGTTTCGTGCCATCGTCTGCCACGTCCATATCTGATTCTTCTAAAATCTCTCCGATCCGAAGCGCTACGAATTGCTGGAACTTTCGAGCATCGGAACGGATCCAGTAGAGCACATCCTTTGAATCTGTCCAGAATGTTCGTCTATGTATGCGTACCGACATTTCCTTTTGGTTACATTTGTCCAGTCTCAGACCTAAGACCGCGGCCATCAGTTCCATGCGAGGTATGGATACGGGCTTCGAGGGTGCTACTCTCGTTTTCGAGGCGGCCAAACTGCTATGTACTTGGCCATCAAGTTCAGCCCGCAAAAATACAACTGCGGCGTAAGCATTCATACTGGCGTCCACGAATGTATGCATCTGCACAGCCTGGGTTCGGTTTACCCGCTTCATACACCGTGGAATGCGGACGGCATTCAACTTTGAAACTAGATCAAGCCAGTGTTGCCAATCGGCTTCGTCTTCGTTGGTGAGGTCGTCATCATATCCGATGTTGGATTGCCATATGTTCTGAAGGATGATCTTGGCGTGTATATTAAAGAATCCTAGCAGCCCGAGCGGGTCGAAAATAGACATGATCACACTTAAAACACGTCTTTTAGTTGGGCGCTCCTTAGATGCCTTCGAAAGCAAGTTTGGCTTCACCATAAACGTCAAAAGATCTTGTCCAGGTAGCCACCACAGGCCCAAGACTTTCTCTTGCGCTTCATCCTGATCGCTGATACACTTGTCCAATTCCTCACAGTCGTCTTCCAGCGCCTGTATAACTTGCTTCGAATTTGATGTCCAGCGGTGCATGTCGAAACCGCCATTAGCATGAATTCTTTTTACAGTCTCAGCTAACTGTATCATTTGGGCTGCTGCATCCACCGACTACAGCCAGTCGTCGACAAATGTGTTTTCTCAAATCGCCTTTACGGCATCCGGATGCTCCGCTACAAACCGCTCGGCATTGCGATTCTTGACGTAATTTGCTAGGGCTGGCGAACAGGATGCTCCGAACATCATGACTTGCATTACGTACGTTTCGGGGAAGCGTGACAAATCTCCATCACACCAGAGAAACTTCTGGGCCGCTTGGTCTTCTCGGGGCACCTTGACCTGATGACACATTTCCCGTATGTCGCCGGATACGGCGATAGGACGGTCTCTAAAGCGTATTAGCACGCCCATCAAAGATGCTAGTGTATCTGGACCTTTCAGCAAACCATCGTTCAGCGACATGCCACTAACTTTGGCAGCCGCATTCCATACCAGGCGCGTCTTTTTCTTGTTCGGATTGGTGACTGTAAATATATGAAGAAACCACGATGTCGTGTTAGCTACTAACTCACTATCTATCAGCCGGCGGATATATCACTTCTGTTTGTAGTCGTGCATCGTGTTCATCATGAACTCTTTTGACATCTTTGACTCTAAACATTTAAGGCGCTTAACAGCCATCTGATAAGAGTCTGGCAGATGCATGCGAACAAACCTCCATAGCAGTCCGGTCTGCCAGCGCTTTTCGTTTTCCAGATATGTTGTTGTTGCCTCCATAATGTATCGAGCGTTCGTTCTCTTTGGATCTCAGCGGATGTGAGGAAACGCTCAAGCCAAGTGACTCCAGTGAAAAATAGTTCTTCAGAGCTTCATCCATCCCACTCGCGGCACTGTACTGGCAAATATGTAGCAGCCGAGGCGTGGTGCTGTCTCCCACAAGGGGCGGCCATATACGGCCCATCCTAGTCTGCTTCGCGCTGCTATGACGTCGTCGTTTTCACCTTCTCGTATCTCCAAGGGTACAGTTATTTTGATATTGTCTAAACCAATGATAAGCTGAGCCTTTACGTTGTTCATTAGCATGAATTATTTTTACAGTCTCAGTTAACTGTATCACTAGGGCTGCTGCATAACTTTCTAGGGCTGCTTCGAACATCATGACTTGCATTACGTACGTTTAGGGGAAACGTGACAAATCTCCATCACGCCAGAGAAACTTCTGCGCCGCTTGGTCTTCTCGGCGCACCTTGACCTGATGAAACATTTCCCGTATGTCGCCGGATACGGCGATAGGACGGTCTGTAAAGATAGGAAGAAACCACGAAGTCGTGTTAGCTACTAACTCACTATCTATCAGCCGGCGGATATATTCCTTCTGTTTGTAGTCGTGCATCGTGTTCATCATGAACTCTTTCAGTGGTCAGTTTTTGACATCTTTGCCTCTAAACATTGAAGGCGCTTAACAGCCATCTGATAAGAGTCTGGCAAATGCATGCGACAAACCTCCATAGCAGTCCGGTTATAAATAGTTCTTCAGAGCTTCATCCATCCCACGCGCCGCACTGTACTGGCAAATATGTAGCAGCTGAGGCGTGGTACTGTCTCTGTGGATTGCTCACAATTGCTGATAAAGATCAACCATTCCTCTGGTTTGCCTGTAAAAATTGGTAAATCTTTGTTGATGACATGCCGCACACTGATTTGCGCAGATTTCAGCGATCCATTCCACGGCGTCGCATTATTACAATACACATTGTCGAATTGCTGCTGTGGCGCGTGCTCAATCGATCTATTGAGCGCTCCCGGACCTGTGTGGCCCATGTACGCGGCAGTACTGGGCTCCGAAGCCTGGTTAAACACCGCCGTATTTGCTTGATATGGCAAACTGGGGTGTACACTCCAATTAGCCGCAACCTGTTTCTGCTTGCAGATCACGTTCTGGTATCCCAAAGGGTCGAAGAGTGCTCCCACTTTCTCACTTCTTTGTTGCATCGGTGTTGGACTTTCCCTTGGGCCAGTAGCTGCAGACGACATAGACGGACAGCCGCTATAAGTTTCTATGTTTGCTGCCCCGCTACCGTCTTCTGCACCGGCGACTTTATCTTGTAATCCAGCAGAAACAGGCGATCCGTTAGCCTGTCCAGTTGACCATGCCGTTGCAAGCATTGCAGTTCCACCGGGTTGATTACTACTTGTCGTCCTTCTCGGACTTACATATTGTTCATCACCGTCAACCAACTCTCCACCCCAATACTATGAAATCTGCTTTGAGGTTATGGCAGCTAAGTGTGAGTCTAGCTCTTGTACCACGTGTCTCTGTATAGGCAGCTCAGGTTGTGACTTTGCAAGTCGCCTGCTTCGCATAAAATCCGCCGTAGCAGAGAATCCCTCAGACACTCTCTGCTGCAGAGAATATTTAAGAATGTTGGCACCGAGACTCGTTCCTGGGCGCGTATTTGGCAGGGATTTCTAACGTCGAAAGAAACGACTATTTCTTTTGGTTCGTTGTAAGCTGTACGATTCGATTCAATTCGATTCGTACGATACGATACGATATGATATGATACGAACGACACGATACGGTGAAATCTTTATTATCTTTTCATTATTTAACAACATATATATTACTTTTTTATTATTATGAGACTTACATTCGTGCTCCGCACGCGCTTCTGTTCTCTTTCACTTCTGCTCAGCTGCAAGCACAAAACGAAAATGAACCTCGTCGAAAAGGCAGATTGTGCAGCTGCGTGCGATCGACTTTGTATGTACAGACTAATTCTAACGGTGCGCTTCCAGTGTATGAAGCGAGCGCTGCTTACAAAAAAATGCGAGAGCCAGTAGGACTTACTGTCAACAGCTATTTTCACTTCGCCCCGTAACATTCCCCACCCCGTAATTCACAAACGTCCGTGCAGTGTGTTACCAACTTTAATGTCAAGCTTAGCTAGCTTGACGGCGGAGCGAGTAATAATTCCATCGGCGGCTCGCACCACGGCGCTACGGTACCTGGCCATCCTTTGAACGGTGCACGTCTACGACCAGTCATCTTGTCCAACAATTTCATCGTCCACTATTATGACGATGTCGTCGACTGATATTGGTTCGTCTGGTGAGTGTAGGCAGGACTCGGAAGCCTCGTGCCAAGCTAGCTCCGTCTTGCTCCCGTAAGCCTCTCTCACGCAATCCGATTGAATGACCGCTTGAAGAAAATGATTTGGATTCAGGGTTTCGGACTCAGATGTCTCCAAGAGAACATAAGTAAGCGGCGTTGACTTGGCCAATGCTGCTCCTAGGACCTTCTCTCGAAGCCCAGAGTACGGCCGAAACTCCGACAGTATTGACTCTTTGACATCTTTTAATATTCTGCTAGCGCCTCTGAAATTTGTGCCATTGTCCGACAGCATGCGGTGGGGGCAGCCGCGTCTGGCCACGAACGACGCATAAGTATAAGTCAGTTGACGCGACGCCGTCAACGACAATGTCGTAGGGGCCGAAATAATCCACTCCAGTATATGTGAACGGTGGAGTATAGGGCGATAATCGCTCGATTGGCAGGTCGCCCATCTCTGGAGGCTTTGGGCGGGCGCGTCGTATGCGGCACGCTGGGCAGGTTTTGGAAACTACTCTCACCAAAGCTCACTGCGATTCTTCTAGATACAAAAATGGTGGTCCATTGAACCACCTGGTTGAGCCATGAATTTCAGGCGTTTCAGTCTGTTTCGTGCCATCGTCTGCCACGTCCATATCTGATTCTTCTAAAATCTCTCCGATCCGAAGCGCTACGAATTGCTGGAACTTTCGAGCATCGGAACGGATCCAGTAGAGCACATCCTTTGAATCTGTCCAGAATGTTCGTCTATGTATGCGTACCGACATTTCCTTTTGGTTACATTTGTCCAGTCTCAGACCTAAGACCGCGGCCATCAGTTCCATGCGAGGTATGGATACGGGCTTCGAGGGTGCTACTCTCGTTTTCGAGGCGGCCAAACTGCTATGTACTTGGCCATCAAGTTCAGCCCGCAAAAATACAACTGCGGCGTAAGCATTCATACTGGCGTCCACGAATGTATGCATCTGCACAGCCTGGGTTCGGTTTACCCGCTTCATACACCGTGGAATGCGGACGGCATTCAACTTTGAAACTAGATCAAGCCAGTGTTGCCAATCGGCTTCGTCTTCGTTGGTGAGGTCGTCATCATATCCGATGTTGGATTGCCATATGTTCTGAAGGATGATCTTGGCGTGTATATTAAAGAATCCTAGCAGCCCGAGCGGGTCGAAAATAGACATGATCACACTTAAAACACGTCTTTTAGTTGGGCGCTCCTTAGATGCCTTCGAAAGCAAGTTTGGCTTCACCATAAACGTCAAAAGATCTTGTCCAGGTAGCCACCACAGGCCCAAGACTTTCTCTTGCGCTTCATCCTGATCGCTGATACACTTGTCCAATTCCTCACAGTCGTCTTCCAGCGCCTGTATAACTTGCTTCGAATTTGATGTCCAGCGGTGCATGTCGAAACCGCCATTAGCATGAATTCTTTTTACAGTCTCAGCTAACTGTATCATTTGGGCTGCTGCATCCACCGACTACAGCCAGTCGTCGACAAATGTGTTTTCTCAAATCGCCTTTACGGCATCCGGATGCTCCGCTACAAACCGCTCGGCATTGCGATTCTTGACGTAATTTGCTAGGGCTGGCGAACAGGATGCTCCGAACATCATGACTTGCATTACGTACGTTTCGGGGAAGCGTGACAAATCTCCATCACACCAGAGAAACTTCTGGGCCGCTTGGTCTTCTCGGGGCACCTTGACCTGATGACACATTTCCCGTATGTCGCCGGATACGGCGATAGGACGGTCTCTAAAGCGTATTAGCACGCCCATCAAAGATGCTAGTGTATCTGGACCTTTCAGCAAACCATCGTTCAGCGACATGCCACTAACTTTGGCAGCCGCATTCCATACCAGGCGCGTCTTTTTCTTGTTCGGATTGGTGACTGTAAATATATGAAGAACCACGATGTCGTGTT